GGATGAATTAGATTTTTATCCAAAAAATTACTATTTCTTGGGTCCATTACACTAATTCCAATCAATAAATCTTCGTTATTAGAAAATCTTTTACTTAGTTCAGCATTGATTTTATCTATAATAATAAAATAAAGGTTTTTCGAAAATCAGTTTCTGAACTTAATACTGAACTTTCTAATGAACTACCTTCAACTATAAATTTTTGCAAATGTTTGTGTAAATTTTTAACTCTGTTTTTTTCTTTATTTTGTGCAGAAGGGTGTTTTATATTTAATTTATTTGCCATTAATTTAGATTCACTAAATAATTTTGAATGATAACTAGGTTCATTTCTTATTTCACAAAAATGTTCTTTAAAAGAATTCATTAATATAATTGCTTTGGCCATATCAGCATTTTTATCTTGTAAATATTTGGTCAACAAGTTGATTTGGGAAAGTAAATCATTAAAAAAAAGTAATAAATATATAAATTTAAAATCTATATTCTTAAGTAAGCCAGTAGCTTCTGAGGAACGCATACTTTTTTCATTTGAAATCTTATATAATAACAACAGTATAACTTCCAAAGTAGCTTTAACAGCTCGACATGTATGAATTTGAGGTGACCAACGAGTAAGAGATAATCTTTAAAGTTCAATTGGTTTTGGAATTTTTAAAATTTGTTTTTGAAGTTCAATAAACTTAGAATGAATTGAAGATCCAGATATAAAATTATATAAATCTTGTAAAAAATTAAAAAAAAATTTACTTCATCTACATTTTTTGCTACATCTACAAGAACTAAATTAAGACGATGATTGTGGCAATGAATATAAACAGCATGATGAACCTTATTTTTAAATAAAGCTTGAACTCCATTAATTGAACCTCTCATAACATTAGCTCCATCATATGTCTGTGCAACACATTTATTTAATTTTACTTGAATATCATTAAATAGTGCGTTTGCATCTAAATTTTTTAGTGGAGTAAACACTAAAAATCGCTCTTTAATTTCATTGTTATAATAATATCTAAGAACAACTGATAATTGTTCAGTTTTTTAATATCCTTAGTTTCTGTTATGGGAACACTGTACATATTATCAGTGATATTATGTATTAACCTCTTGCATGTAACTACAAAACATTATCATTATGATTGTATCGTAAACCGCATGAAGCATTATTTAATAAAGAATATAAAATGTTTAATTAAATTAAATTATTCTAATTAGTTCTTGACAATTATTAAATACAGTGAAAACTCTTTATAACGAATCTGAAGGGACCAAGAGATTTCTTTCGTTATAGAGAGTTTTCGTAATAGAGAGGGTTTAAAAAAAACAAAATTTTAATTATTTATGTATAAAGGTACCTATAGGTATATAACCTGTGTAATATTATATATCAAACACATTATTATTTTTACATTATTTTATACATATTTACGTATTATATTAAATTACGTATCATTATTATTATACTACTGTGGTCATGCGTATAATGTTAGACATTACGTCGATAATAAAATGAACATTCAATTTAGACAATAACGATATTAAAAGTAGGTAATGAAAGAATGTAATCGTTCTTGGAAATTTCGGCATTATTGCCGATTATTTTAATAGTTTATAATATATGTAATAGATAATAATACTATAACACGTAAATTGTATTATGAAACATAAAATATTGTTTCGTTATTGAGAGTGACTACTACGTTATAGAGAAAGAATTGACTAATGGGTTATATAGCAAACCAACCATTATTGTGTAACGTTTACGTTATATAGAGTTTTTCGTTGTAAAGAGTTTCGTTATAAGAGTTTCACTGTATAACATTGCGCAGTCGAAAAGGATAATATAATAGTTAAATTTCCTCATCACCATGAATCAATTACGGCCGCCAAAGGATCTATCATCGGGAAAGGATTGGACTAGATGGAAAAGTGTGTTCAATCTTTACATGATAGGATCAGGTGCGTTTAAACTAAAAGAAGAAGAAAAAATAGCAATTCTCCAGAGGTGGCTTATCTCAATGTAGTCAAAGATATTCAAAAGCAAATAATAAATACATGAGAGATAAATTTGAAAAAAAGGAGGAATCAATATTTTTAGAATAGTTGGATGCAAATAATCTTTATGGTTGGGCAATGAGTAAATATTTACCTACTGGAGATTTCAAATGGGTTGATAATCTGAATGATTTTGATGTAATGAATATTCCTGATAAATCATGTAAAGGTTATATTTTAGAAGTTGATTTATCTTACCCTAAAGAACTTCATGATCTACATTCAGATTTCCCTTTAGCACCAGAAATACATTTTGAAAACAAACAACTCCCAAAATTATTAACAACTTTGTATGATAAGAAAAAATATATAATACATTATGAAACACTAAAATGATATATTAATTTAGGTTTAAAGATAGAGAAAATTCATAGAGTATTAGAATTTAGTCAATCTCCTTGGTTAAAAGTTTATATTGATTTTAATACTTATCTTAGATCAGAAGCCAAGAATGAGTTTGAAAAAGAATTTTTCAAATAATGAATAATAGTGTATATGTACGTACTATGATGAATGTTCGAAATCATGTTGATATAAAATTATGTTCTAATGCATCAATAGTAGAGAAATTAATTGCAAAACCAAATTTTGATCGAAGTACATTTTTTACAGAAAATTTAGCTGCAGTACATATGAAAATAACAAAAATATTTTTCAAACAACCAATATACGAGTATATAGGAATGTGTGTCTAGATTATCTAAAATGTTAATGTATGATTTTTATTATAACATTATAAAGAAAAAATATGGAAATATAGTTAGATTGTTATATACAGATACAGATTCACTAATATTAGAAATAAAAACTAATGATTTTATATCAAGATATGAAAATTATGTTACATCATTTTGACACTTCAGATTATTCAAAAGATAATATGTATGGTTTACCTTTAGTTAACAAAAAAGTTTTATTCAAGTTTAAATATGAGTTAAATGGAAAAATAATGACTGAATTTATAGGTTTAAGATCTAAATTATATTCACATCGAGTCTTAGATACTGAAAAAGAAATTAAAAAAGCTAAAGGTGTTAAAAAAAATGTTGTAGAAAATAAAATATCTTTTAATGATTTTGAAAATTGTTTACGAACAAAAAAATCAAAATATGTTAAACAAAGTTTATTTAGAACTAAGAAACATGATATTTTTACTGTAGAACAAAACATAAAAGCTTTAAGTGTTTATGATGATAAAAGATTTATTTTGGAAAATGGTATTGATACCTTAGCATGGGGACATTATAAATCAAATTAGATAGAATGATTTTGTAAACCATCTCAATACACTAATTAGAATCAAAATCAAAAAGATTAGAAAAATATTTTTGAACAATATTGCATTTTTTTTTTTTTTCGGGGCTTTTTTTTAACTATAATAATTAAGTTTTATGAAAATATTTTATATTAATGCATTTAATAAGTTTTGGGAAAAAACCATTTTAATTATTATTGCATTTCAATTTTCTGATCTTTTTGCACCATTGTTTTTCTTTGTGATATTTTATTGATATAAAATGGAGCCTGTCCATGAATGGTCCTTCCGTACTACTGACGACCAAACCCTTGGCCTTATTTTTACAAGCCAACGCAATATCTATTCTAAATTGTTTTAACCTCATCATGTTTTTTTTCACTTTTGCTATCTCTTCTGTAAAATAACCAGGCATTATTTACAGATAGATCTAACATCTGCGCAATAATGCCTTATACCATTTGTGTGTCTTCTTGTTAGTTCGGTAAAGCGCTATTAACATATCTGCAAGATCTACGCAACCCATATGGGTATTATATTCCTCTACTATTTTAGGATAAGGGACAGGCACTTGGACTTGGCCATAGGTGACGACTTCACCCTAGATATTATAACTTAAAAGTAAATATTTTTAATTTTGTACTAAATTAAATTCTTATATTTTAATTAGGAAATGTTACTCTACTGAGTCTCACGTCAAAAGAATTATCATGTCGATACATCTGCGACACTCATTTTGTAAGCACAGATTATACTAACGAAAATAAAAGCAGATTAAACAAACACGCAGTTCCTACTCAGTATACAGATATCGGAAATTTTCATGTTACCACACTTACTAATGTTTACAAGAAAGTATGTGTAAGAACTAAGAAGCCCAATTCAATAACAAATGGTTACCAAATCAGGTTCTCCGAATTTCTACGTTCAAACACCAAATAAAATTCCACCTTCCACTAGTTCCACTAGTTACTTATAAACAGTTGCTTCTACATCTTCGACTCCAGTATTGACACCAACAACAATAAAATTCATTGAAGAATCACATGTGCCAATAAAATTACACCCTATAAAATTATTTAGTGGTGATAAAGTTGCAAAACTAAAATTTGCTCTGAAACAAAAAAAAAAGCAAATTAACAGTAAAAATGTCCCTGTATTCCTGTTTAGATTGAAAAATAGGTTACAATTAATGAAAAATGGAAGGAAGACTACCAATAATATTGTAGATTCTTTACAATATCCATCAAAAGACTCTAAAGTACTTGTCAAAATGCAGACATTAAGAGCTAAATCGTCAAGAAAACCTTTCACAAAAGCAGAACAAAATTTTGCCCTGAGTTTATTTTACAAATCACCAAGTACTTACAAATTTCTAAGAAATAATAAGAAAATAACTTTACCTGGCATGTCAACAATTCATCGGTGGATTGGTAATTCAAAATTCAGACCGGGGATTAACTCAGGACTATTTCGACAATTAAAAAAAAAATGTGAATCAATGAGCCAAGATGAATTATACTGCACATTAATATTTGATGAAATGAAGATTAATAACTATCTTGAATATTCTAAGTTTCTAGATTGCATTGAGGGGTATGAAGATTTGGGACCAAAAAGTCGTACAAATAAATTAGCTGGTCAAGCCATGGTGTTTATGATACGTGGTTTGTATTAATAATGGAAAATGCCTATTTGTTATTTTTTACCTGCGACATCATTAAAAAATTGTATATTGAGTGAGTTGTTAGTGGAGGTAATTCAACGGCTATTAGATTGTGGATTTCATGTTAAAGCTGTAATATGTGACCAAGGAACTAGCAATGTAGCAGAACTTAAACAATTGAAAGTTACAAAAGACAAGCCGTTTTTTGAAGTTAATGAAAGACGAATTTATTCTATTTTTGATACTCCACATTTATTCAAAAACTTGCGTAATCATTTAAAAAAAAGCAATTTTATATTTGAAGGCAAAGAAGCCTCTTTTCATGACTTGAGAGATGTTTATTATATTGATAAGAAAAGTTGTACTAGTCGTTCTTTATTAAAAATTACTGACAATCACATAAACCCAGGGCCATTTCAATTGATGTCATGTAAATTAGCTATGCAACTTTTTAGTAATACAATGTCTACTGCTATAAAAATCAGTGTTTACACCGGTCAGCTGAAGTCTAAAACAGCTATACAGACACCTAATATGACAAAATATTTCAATGATTTACTTTATGTACTAAATAGTATGAGTTTGTACCATTCCAATCCATTTAAATGTGCTTTATCCACCGAGAGACCCCAGCAACTAGAATTTCTTCAAAAAGCAATAATAACATTTGAAAATTTAAAAAAGAAAAATTCTACCAACAAAGGGAAAAAAGAAACTATACCTGTTTGCTTTGATAGTATGTGCTGGACCTTGAATGCTATTATACTGCTGTATAAAGAACAACAAGACATGGGATTCCCATACATTTTGACTGGACGCCTCAACTCAGATGTAATAGAAAACACATTTTCTATATTAAGACAAAGGGGAGGATATAATAGGTAAAATATGGTAGCCTTGAATTCTTATATAACATAAAAGTTGAATATTTTAAGTTGTTAATAATTAATAAAATGTTGATGTTTTTTCAGAAATCCAACTGCAAGAACTTTCTGTTGAAATATACAATTAATATGTAGTACATGTAGTCAGCCTTGACACGTGTGTACAATTTAGTAACTAGTTATGTACGAGCATAAGACTCACTCTCTTTACGGATGTAACATGACCTCGGTCGTGCATATATATAGGGCCTTTGATGTATGTAATATTCACTTGCACAGACGCTGTCATACCGAGTGTACGCGGTGTGTGTGTATAGTCACAGTTTAATTGTCCAGTTGTACGTTATTATATATTATACTTATACATAATCATATTGTCGTGTTATTACTTATTATATTAATGCTAACATCATTAGTCCGTCAAGCTTCACTTTCAACAGGTTATGGGCCCAGTCAATAACCAAGACAAACAGTCTAGTGGATTCGTGATCGAAGTATTTTTATATTTGTATTAACGCAGAAAACTACAACCAGTCGGAGATATCCTGGATTTCGGAAAACGGCGGAACAGTGTACATAGGTAAAGTTTTGTTATAAATTGTTATACAGGAAAGTATACGGGAATCCATCGGTCATGGAAGACACGGTGAAGATAACAAAATTATGTGCGGAAAACTGGTCGTTATGGAAGTTCCAGATGAAGGTCATTTTAAATGCCTTGGAAGTAGGTGAGATAGTTTCAGGCGAATGGACGAAACCAGGTCTACCTATAAAAAAGTCGGCAGGAGAGACCGACGAGGATGCCAAAGCACGTTGGCAAAGGCATACAAACGCTTGGCAAAAAGCGGACGGTAAATGTCAGAAAATAATAGTTACCTCAGTGGACGATGGTCCATTACAATATTTGATTAACTGTGAGACTGCATTGGAAATGTGGGAGAAACTGCTGAGTATTTACGAGCAGAAGTCTGAGGCAAGTACACATTTGCTTCAACAACAATTTTTCAGTTATTCAAAGGAGTCGACAGATGACATGTCGACGCATATTTCTAAATTGGTCAATTTAGGAAGGAAACTGAGAGTAGCGGGTGAACCAGTTACGGATAACATGGTTATGACAAAAATACTAATGACACTACCAAAAGAATATAATCATTTTTACAGTGCTTGGGATTCAGTCCCGACGGGAAGTAAAAATATAAATAATTTGACTAGTCGATTGTTGATTGAAGAATCACGGGTTATCCAGATCAAAGGTGAAGTTGGTGAACAAGAGAAATCGAGTGCATTTCCGGCCAAATTTCAAAACAGATCTGATGGAAGAAACGGCAGTCGTAATTATGGAAAAGGTAAAAATCAATTTACTAATAAAAGTAATATTAAGTGTTATTACTGTGGTAAACTAGGTCATTATAAAAGAGACTGTAGAAATTTTCTACAAAGTGTACACGGTGGTAAAACCGGTACGATAGGTGCGAACTTGAACGCATTCGTAAGCGAGTCAAGTATAAATAATATTGCAACAGATGCGTGGGTACTAGACTCGGGCGCGTCGGATCATATGAGCGCAAATCGAGAGTGGTTTTCAAGTTATGAACCACTGGACAACACGCAACAAATCACGATAGGTGATGGGACAAATCTGTATGCAGCAGGTAGAGGTAATATTAATATATTATCATACGTAAACGGTAATTGGAATAAAAATTACATGGCAAACGTGTTGCACGTGCCAGGACTAAAATTTAATTTATTCTCGTGCGGAGCCGCGATGGATAAAGGTTTAGTATTGACGTCAGATAGTAAGACGTGTATGTTAACTAAACAGGGGAAACCCGTATGCTCAGGTAAGAGATGCGGAAGGTTGTTTGAGTTAAACATCAAGGTCGAAGTACCGACAAACGGGTACGCGACGGTAGCTGTCGAAAACAGGTTGTCTGTTTGGCACGAGCGCATGGCACATCAGAATTTACAGTACGTAAAAAGTTGTTTGGCGAAACACGAAATAGTATGTTCGGCCAAGGACGACGAATTCATGTGCAGCAGTTGTATAATAGGTAAACAAAGTCGTAAATCATTTAGTAAAAGTAATACGGAGTATCACAATGTCGGTGATTTAATCCATGCAGACCTATGTGGACCAATGGAGGTAAGCTCTATAGGCGGTTCAAAATACTTTTTGTTATTCAAAGACGACTACTCGCATTATAGAACGGTATATTTTATTAAAAATAAATATGATATTAAAAATATTTTTGAGACGTTCATAAAAAGTGTTGAAACAGAAACAGGTTCTAAGGTCAAAATATTACGAACGGATAATGGATTAGAATTCGTAAATAAAGAAATTACGGGTATTTTACAAAAACACGGGATTCGACATCAGTTAACAGTTCCCTACACACCACAGCAAAATGGAAAAGTGGAACGGGAAAATCGTACAATAGTAGAGTCAGCGAGGACAATGATTTGTGCAAAAAATTTGGATGTATCACTTTGGGCGGAGGCGGTAAACACGGCTGTTTACACGCTTAATCGAACAGGAACCAGTTCAGTTAAAAATAACTCACCATACGAGTTATATTACAAGGTAATGCCAGACATTAAACACTTACGAGTTTTTGGTACTGTCGTATATACACACATACCAAAGCAAAACCGTAAAAAGTGGGACCCTAAAAGTGAAAAAGGAATATTTGTTGGCTATTCGGATAACACGAAAGGTTATCGTGTGTATTATTCGAAAACAAATAGAATTTCAATGTCTAGAGATATTATATTCGAAAACGAAGGTAATAAATTGGAAAATATAATTGCAGACAAATTAGAATTCACAGATATTCAGACTCAAGTCGAGGGCGATCCGGTCAAGGTTGAATTGACGACGGTCGACAACAGGAGTGGCATGGTGCTACGTGATCGGAATACATTAAAAGCGCCGATCAGGTATAATGTGTCGTCGTTCGTCGCCAATCTCGTTGAACCACTAAACCATGATGAAGCGATAGCTGGCCCACAGAAAAACGAGTGGGAGCACGCTATGAGTGATGAGATTACGTCACTACACAGAAACAACACTTGGTCACTAGTTAATTTGCCTCATTGCAAGGTTGCGTTACGTAATGCATGGGTGTTCAAAACCAAATATAAAAGTGACGGTAATATCGATAAGTTTAAGGCCAGATTGGTCATTAAAGGTTGTTCACAGAAATATGGTATAGATTACCATGAAACATTTTCGCCAGTGGTCAGATACGAATCAATTAGGGCGATATTCGCAGTAGCAGCTGTGGAAAAATTAATACTACGACAATTCGACATCAAGACAGCATTTCTGTACGGAGAACTACAGGAAGAAATTTACATGGTACAACCACCAGGATACGAAGATGGATCGAATAAAGTATGTAAGCTTCAGCGTAGTTTATATGGCTTAAAACAAAGTCCAAGATGTTGGAATATACGCTTTAAGAACTTTTTGAATGCATTTGGTTTACAATGTACCGAAGCGGATGCATGTGTATTCAAAGCTGATAACAGCCAAATTATTCTTGCCATATTTGTTGACGATGGTTTAATCGCGGCAGATAATGAAGAGATAATAGAGAAACTTTTAACGAACTTGGAGAAAGAGTTTGAGGTTAAAAAAGGAAACTTAGATTATTTCCTAGGTATGCAGGTAAATATAATGAAAAATGGTTCATTATTTGTGCATCAGACAAATTATGCATGTAGCATAATTAATAAATTTAATATGCTGGACGCCAAGGAACTTTCAATACCAATAGACAAATCACATACACTTGAACAAAAAGAAGATACGGAAATATTGAATGAAGATATTCCTTATAGGCAGGCAGTAGGTAGCTTACTGTTCTTATCACAGGTAACAAGACCAGATATAGCATATGCAGTAAACTTTGCTAGTCGTTACTTAGCAAAACCAACTAAAGCTCATTGGAACTTGGTAAAACGGATTATACGATATATCAAGCGAACATTTAATTATGGCTTGTACTTTAATAACAAAACAAAATTGTCATTAGAAATATTTAGCGATGCAGATTACGCAGGTGACATTCAGACACGACGTTCGACGTCAGGATTTCTATTCAGGTACGGGTCAAGCATAATTTCATGGACATCGCAGAGACAACATTGTGTGTCGTTATCATCGACAGAGGCTGAATATATTTCGGCCAGTGAAGCTGTCAAAGGGATCTTGTGGATTACACGGTTGATAACAAGCTTATCAACAACAGGTGACAAACAACCAGTTTTATTTATAGATAATCAGAGTGCTATACGTTTAGTTAAGAATCCGGAGTTTCATAAGAGGACAAAACATATAGACGTACGGTACCACTTCATACGGGAGAAATACGAAGAGGGACAATTCCAACTACAGTACATTGGAACAGAGGACCAGATTGCGGACATTCTAACCAAGCCTTTGGTTAAGGAACGATTCGAGAAGTTGCGGTCAGCCATAGGAGTGACTACAATTAAAGAGATTATTAATTGAGGGAGGGTATTGAAATATACAATTAATATGTAGTACATGTAGTCAGCCTTGACACGTGTGTACAATTTAGTTACTAGTTATGTACGAGCATAAGACTCACTCTCTTTACGGATGTAACATGACCTCGGTCGTGCATATATATAGGGCCTTTGATGTATGTAATATTCACTTGCACAGACGCTGTCATACCGAGTGTACGCGGTGTGTGTGTATAGTCACAGTTTAATTGTCCAGTTGTACGTTATTATATATTATACTTATACATAATCATATTGTCGTGTTATTACTTATTATATTAATGCTAACATCATTAGTCCGTCAAGCTTTACTTTCAACACTTTCCGCAAAACGTTTAGAATTAATGCAAAAATGAGTTTAATGAAACCATCGAGTTCTTCTAACTGTGAGCCAGACGATGACATCCATTTAATGACTCACTCTGTAAATAATGACATCCAAATAGATGGAGATAGTAGTGAGTCAACAATATCATTTAATGAATCATCCGATTCGTGGAAAATTGACAGCATTCAATTAGAGAAAGAAGCGGTGGTTACTTTGAAAAATTGTTCAAATACATATTTTGCTGGTTACCTAGCAATGAAAACAATATTAAAATTCCCCTGCTCATATTGTGAACAGTTAATGGTGAAGTGTGATTTTTCAGTTACAAATAAATTAGATTTTTTAATTTTTTGTAAAAACTATGATTCAAAAACGTCTGAAATGCATCTGAAAGTACCTACTTATGAACTGACGCAATTTATTATTTTGGCTCAAAAAATCCTTGCAGATATAGTAGAAAAAAACCACATAGAAAAAAAATAGCCCAATTTGCTGAAAAAAAATAAAAACTGAATTAATTAGTTTATTAAATGTTAATGAAACTTGTATTCCACATATTGAATTTTTAATCAAACATCTAATCATATATAAACTTTTTAGAAATTTTAACTGGATTTCAAAAAATATTAAGCATGTGAGAGTTGAAAAACCCAAAAAAAATTAAAAATTCTTAAAAATATTTAAAATAGATTTTGTGTATATTATATTCTATTCTATTTTATAATGTGTCATTAATTATCATTATCTTTATTGTAAACTATTTTATATTATATTGTTATTGTTAATAATGTATTGACTGTTGTTGGTATTGCAACACACTAATAAATTATATTATATTAGTCACAAATTTTATATTTTTTTTTTTTTTACCTAGTTACATTTTTTTTTTATATAATATAAAACTCAAATTTTAGGAATGTTCATTATAAAAATGACAGACAATATTAACTTCATTAAATATTAAATATGCACTAAATACATTTTCATTTCTAAAAAATAAAACATTTTTAAGAGCATTATTTTAAGAGGACGTCGCGTCGCACCTACATAGAGTGTTGTCTCCGTCTTACACATGTACTAAATTTTTGTTCCCTAGTTTCAATAGGATGTTGTCAGTTTTGATATTACAGTGAACCAACCTCTTACCAAACTTTTAGGTAACAACATTATCTGTTTTCTCTCGTTGGTTTTTTATGATTTAATTGTCAAGTGAGCTATGAATATATAAAATATAAAGTATTAATATTTGAAAATGAACATATCTCATTTAACAATTAAAATATCGTAAAAAACCAACGAGAGAACACAGAGTTTGATAATGCGTCAATTCACTGTAATATCAAAACTGACAGCACCCAATTGAAACTAGTGAACGGAAATTTGCTATGTCGTACGTCTGTAAGACGGACTACGGAGACAACATATTCGGGTGCGACATTCTCTTAAGATATTTTTTTTATCATTTTTTAGTCCTAGTTTTAAATTAATTATTGGTAACAAAAATTACAACCAGCTTTTTATAAATTACGACATCGAAGTAAAATTTATTTTTTATTTAATATGTTATTTGTTCACACTTTGGCTGAACAGAAAGCAGAAGCAGTAAACCGTCCTGTTTGATATTTTATAATATTACTAGCTGATCCCGTGCACTTCGTCGCCCTTTAAATGTACCTATCAACTCAATATGAGTTATGACTCAAACTTTGTTCAATTCGTTATTCAATATTCGGTGTATGGTTTTCAAAATTTATCTTATCTTTTCCGTTGCCCGGAATAAAAATTCTGAATCGCAGCAGTACATTATCAGGTAGGCAATCTACCTGCGGTAGATCGCGGACCCCGTGCTGTTTGTACGGAAGTGTATGATTTAACTCTAAATTATCAAAGTTATACCAAGTTTATTTTGACATAATACGGTAAATTAATATAACAAATTTGGTTGCTCGTAAAAAATCACAACTCTTAAAAAAATTATGATTGTTGAACTCCTTTTGGGTGTAACTTGCTGGGGTAAGTGCAACTTAGCCACCCTGGTAGGCAATGTTCAATAATTTGATTTGATACAAGCTTGTACCTGATCTGCCCGAATAACCAATGGCAACCAATAAATAAATGCTAATTTCTAATGTAGACTGTAACCAATGGCAACTGTTAATAAATAAAAATAAAATTTCCAATTTCCATCTTGAATCTCAATGTCCCTGTTTGAGCACCTATTTAAAATGCGAATTTCGAAAAATCCTTTCTTAGCGCACGTCTACATCATAATAGCTATCTGTATGCCAAATTTCAGCCAGATCCGTCCAATGGTTTGAGCTGTGCGTTGATAGCAGTCAATCAGCTTACTGTTTTATATATACAGATATATATATATATATTATAATATATAATAAAACAACATTACCATGACAATATTTATTTATTTACGGACATGTACGCTTTCGCGTTCGTACGGCCGCCCGCGCCCGTTCGTACGCGCCGCCCGTTCGCTTTTTTTTTTCCTCACTACCGTGCGTAAAGAAGTATAACTTCAAAAGATTGTTGCAAATATGCAACAACGCGCATAGTAGGGTTAACAATTCAT